TACAATAGCCAGGAGATGGAAGCAACCTAAGTGTCCATCCGCAGATGAATGTATAAAGAAGATGTGGCACATATACACAATGGAATACTACTCAGCCATAAAAAGGAACGAAATTGAGTTATTTGTAGTGAGGTGGATGGACCTAGAGTCTGTCATACAGAGTAAAGTAAGTCAGAAAGAGAAAAGCAAATACCGTATGCTAACACATATATATGGAATCTAAAAAAAAAAAAAAGGTTCTGAAGAACGTTGGGGCAGGAAAGGAATAAAGATGCAGACATAGAGAATGGACTTGAGGACACAGGGAGGGGGAAGGGTAAGCTGGGACGAAGTGAGAGAGTGGCATGGACATATATACACTACCAAATGTAAAACAGATAGCTAGTGGGAAGCATCCACATAGCACAGGGAGATCAGCTCGGTGCTTTGTGACCACCTAGAGGGGTGGGATAGGGAGGGTGGGAGGGAGATGCAAGAGGGAGGAGATATGGGGATATATATATATATATGTATAGCTGATTCACTTTGTTATAAAGCAGAAACTAACACACCATTGTAAGGAAATGATACTCCAATAAAGACGTTAAAAAAAAAAAAGATTACGACTCACTGAGGGCGCAGATGACAGTTAGCATTTTTTAGCAATAAAGTGCTTCACTAAGGTATTTTCTTTTAAGACATAATGCTACTGCACACTTAATAGACTATGTACAGAGTAAACATGACTTTTATATGCACTGGGAAACCAAAAAATTCATGTGACTCACTTTTGGTGATATTCACTTTATTGTGGTAGCCCAGCACCGAACCCACAATATCTCCAAGGTATGCCTGTACTACAGACATCATTGTCAGAGCCAGTGTTTTCCCTCGAGAGTTAAAGATGGACACTAGTATTTCGAATACTGGCAAGAAATGAAGCTGGAGAGCCTATTTAGTGGCCTATTGTGACTAAAAGTATTAAAAAAAAAATAGGTTACATGACTATATGCCTAAATGCTATGCAATCAGTAATAAGAATTCTTATTTTGTACATAATTCACTTTATAACATACTATTAAATTCAGATTATCCTTTCATTGGTTTTAAACAAATTATGATGACTCAATTTGCTTCAAATAAAAGAAAAAACTGTATCTATTTTTATAAAACAAATAATTTTTATTCAAGCTAATCCATGGGATTTGTAAAAATCAGTGGCATCTATTCAAAGGGGCCTCTAATGGCAGAGGGCATTATGTCGCTGATTTTACACAAGCTAATGTGGCTGTCTTTAAGTGCTCACACACAAACACCAGTCCCTCTCCATGTGTAGCAGCCATTTAAACTCCCAAGTAAGAAAGCCAGTTCCACTTACTTGATGACCTGCGGGGAGAGCAGGTGGCTGGCTAAGGAAGGCTTTTATGGGCTGATTCATTCACTCACAAACACCCGGAGCGAGTGCCTGTGTGTAGGGTGACAGGATCTCACTGCCAAGATGGCATCAGTGTAACTTGCCATCAAAAAAGAGAAAAGTTTTGAAATACCCTTTCTGCATTCTGCCCATTGAAATCTGTGTCATCCTTCAAGCTCATGATCAAATGCCCCCCTTCACAAAAACGCCATTCCTGACCCTCTGTCTCCTCAAATCTCAACCCCAGCCTGAATGAACCAACCAACCCCTCTCTGGTGCTCCTAATGCCCTTTGACCAGACTTCACTGTTTACATCTGTCATAGCAGGGTCATCTGTTCACACTGCCACAGGAATTATGCACTAAAAACACCCAATAACACAAAGTGAGATCAGTGCTAGGCCTCAAGTAGGTGTTGAATATAACCAGACGAACAAAAAATAGGCTTCTGGTAAAAGCCCATGGCTCAGTGGGGAAGTCAGGCAGACAATATATACATTTCAGCAAGCACAGCCTATGCAATATAATAGTGACAAGTACAAATAAGGCTAATAGTATGGAAAGGAGGGAGATATCAGGTTTGGCACCACAGAGAGGGATACCTAGAGGGCATCCTGTAGGATGAACAAGTACATAGCAGGCGGAGGGAAAATCAGGTTCAGTTAAGAAGACATGAAACATGGGTATGAAGTTTCAGTCGTGCCAGATGAAAAAGTTCTAGAGATCCTCTCTGCTTATAGTTAACAGTACTGTACTGTACACTTAAAAAATTAAGAGGGTAAATCTCATGTTACGTATTTTTTACAATTAAAAAAAAAAAGAGGAAGGCATGGAACAGCATGGCATGCCTGGCAACTTGCAAGGAGACCACTGCTGCTGGAGTTGACGGTGGAAAATAGGGAAAGGAAGGAAAAGCTGGAGAACAGATTAGGAGCCCGATCAGAATGGGTATTATGACCTAGGTTTGGGCTTTTAACTTTTTAGGCAACGAGGACCACAGAGAAATAGAATCAGAGGTGCATTTTGGTGGCAGTGTAGGAGACAGATGGACTGATGGGGGTAAACATGGAAGTTGATAAACTCTGATGCAGTCTAGATGAGACCAAAAGGCCCAGGTTAGGAAAATGGTACTGCCTTCTAAAACACTTAGGGCTACCTGAGTTATCTGGTTAATTCATTTGTTTACTTTCCCACCAAAATCTAAACTCCAAGTCAGGGACTCTGTCTGTCTTGCCCAGAGCTACATTTCCCATCCTAGAACAGGGCCTTGTATACAACAGGTGCTCAGCAAACGCCTGCTAAATCAATGAAGAGATGCTTCTGCACAAGTCCTTCAACTTTCAGAGTTTTATGTCAGCTGCCTGATCACATGGACTCTTCCAACAGTATGCTGTTTTTAAAAAAGTGCTCTGTACCTCTAAGAAACAGGCTAACTCATATACATATTCCTCAACACTCTGAGAAGAACTTTGTATATAAAGAAAGGATGCTTAAAAAACAGGTGTTGAGGGGGCTTCCCTGGTGGCGCAGTGGTTGAGAATCTGCCTGCTAATGCAGGGGACATGGGTCCGAGCCCTGGTCTGGGAGGATCCCACATGCCGCGGAGCAACTAAGCCCGTGAGCCACAAGTACTAAGCCTGCACATCTGGAGCCTGTGCTCCCCAACAAGAGAGGCCACGATAGTGAGAGGCCCGCACACCACGATGAAGAGTAGCCCGCACTTGCCACAACTAGAGAAAGCCCTCGCACAGAAACCAAGACCCAACACAGCAAAAATAAATAAATAAATTTTAAAAAAACAAAAAAAGAATAAGGTCTTTGAATGCAAAGAATGTGCTTTAAAAAAACAAAACCAAAAAACAGGTATTGATATATATTTTTTAAGGCACATGTCCTGGATTTTTCCAAATAATGACATCAAATTTTCTTGGTGAAAAGTCCAAAGACAAAATTCTTCTAATCATCAGTTTTGCACACCCTACCTGGACATCGAGCAATCCAGCTGGGCCCTTTCTGCTTTGTAAATCATTGCTGGCAACAAAGCCTCAGCAATGAGAGCTCAGCTGCTGGTCATGCTGACAATGGTTGGACAGCCAAAGACACACTGTGGCCCTCCTATGTTTACACGACAGCACTAGGGCATATCACAAGGGCAGCACATATTCCCACTGCCAGAGGCCCGTTAGCAGGCTGCTGCCTCCTACTGCTCTGCAACCCATGACCCAGTAACTGGGGCGATGTCCCCTGCAGAGGAAGGCTAAAGGGATTTAATTTCTCTGTGATATCAAGGACCAATAAAAGGGCAGTTTTATAACTCTCATCAAGTGGAATACACCAGGCTCAAACCACCAGCCTGACTGACTCATCCCCATGGTCCACACAAGTCCTTCAACTTCAGAGGTTTATGTCAGCTGCCTGATCACAGGGACTCCTCCAACAGTATGCTGGTTTTAGAAAAGTATTCTGTACCTCTGAGAAACAGGCCCCTGATAGTATGTCCACTAATGCCAATCAAGACTCTTTTCGGTGGGGGGGGATCTACACTGTATTCGGTATGTAGGGGCATAAGCATAGGCCTTAAACCAAGACTCAGGCCTGGGTACAAATCCTGACTCTGCCACCTACCAGCTGTGTGACCTTATATTAATGATTTAATCTTTTTGAGTCTCAGTGTTCTCATTTGTAAAATGGGAATAATCCTCCCTGTCTTACGTGCTCCAGAGCGATTAAATGAGGGAACCCATACAAAGAGATAAGCATGGTGCCTATTAAATGCCAACAGGCATTTAATGACTGTTCATTCCTTCCCTTACCATGGGTGGGAGTGGGAGGTTAGTGAACAGCCACCTTTTAAGGAGCAGGCCTGTGGGGGTCTCACACACAGTGAGAAAAAAGTCATGAAACAGAAAGTATGGAAACTGACAGCCTGCAGCTTCTGCCTCTTCTATACTTGAGAAAGTTACACAATGTGAGTGACAGAGGCTGTCCCAAGAACATAAAGGAAGCTAATCTGTTTGCAAAGGGAGGAAATAGCACAGGATGAAGATTGTAAATTGTTTGAAGCTTCTTCCCTAATTATCACTCATAATGAAAATTTAATTGCTGAGTTAAAAGCAAATTTCACTTTTTCTGTCAGAGAATCTCTGAAGAAACTGGCACATTTTGTTTGAACAGGAAATCAAAGTTACTTTAATGCCTAAATGAGATCTAAGGAGCTGCAGATGTTTCCCTGGGAATAACTAGCTTCAAAACTCCATCCTACTGGTTTGCAGCAACTTACAGCTACAGGGAGGCAGAAATAAAAACTGTTTTGAGCCGAGTTGCTCAAGGGGTGAGGCTGACTCAAATTCCAAGTACCCCAGTGCTAGGCACCTTGGGGGGCGAGGCAGGGAGAAGGTGGTACACAGAGAGGGTCTCTGGAATTAAGGAGCTTATAATCAAGTAGGAGAGAGAGAACCAGGGAACAGCCTACTATTAGGAAACTGAAATGAAGACAATTTGGCTCAGGAAAGAACAGCAAAAAACAAAAAGGTAAGCCTCCAAGCGTACTTTCACACACCCTGGCCTTAATTATGACCCACTTGGGTGTCAGCCAAAAGCCTGCTCACCTGTAAGGTGCTGGTGAGGAAGTTGTCCTGGGAGACAATGTCCACAAAGAAGTCGGCAGGGATCTCACCAAGCTGGTGGTACAGGATGGAGATGAGGTTGACGTAAAGGGTGTGGTGCTTCACCATGGCCTCTTCTGACCGGCACAGAAGGTTCAGGAGCTGCTTCCAGTGCTCGAATGCCTCGTACACGTTCCCCAGCAGGAAGCATACAAAGGCAAACTGGAGCTCACCTGAAAGGTGCAGAGAGGAGAAATGATCCTGAGGGACAGGAGTACTGGCTGACACTACTAAGCCGTCAGTTCCACTGGGCCTCAGCAATAAGTGGCTTTCTATCCTTGCCACTCTTCCAGAGCTCGGCACAGGGTTTTGCACCTAGCAGCTGCTCAATAAAAGTTTGCTGAACTGCTATAAACTCAAGCCGTGAGAAACCAAACTGGTTTTGGATTTCTGTGATATCCGACTGCAAGAGAAGAGGCACACATAGTATTTGCCTAGCATTTAACAAGTTTACAAAATGTGTCCATGGATATTATGCCAAGTGGATCCCCAAACTGGCTGCCCATCTGAAATACTAAGAGAACTTGTTAAAAATAAAGCTGCCCAAGCCTCACCACCAGAGATCCTGGTTGAGGACAGATGATGGGGCCTCAGTATTTGTAGCTCTAACAAGCTTCCCGGGTGATTCTGATGCACACGGTCTGCTTCAGGGTCAGGGAAATGCTGCATTACACCACATAATCCTCAGCCCAACTCGGCAAGGTGATCAGGGAAGGTGGTATTTGCCTCATTTCATAGATGAGGTCAAGAAAATTGCCCAAGGTCACACATCTAATGCTTAGCAACTGAACAATGGAAAGATAAAACAGGTTTCTTTTTTAAATTTATTTATTTTATTCATTTATTTTGGGCTGCGTTGGGTCTTCGTTGCTGTGCGTGGGCTTTTCTCTAGTTGCGGTGTGTGGGCTTCTCATTGTGGTGGCTTCTCCTGTTGCAGAGCACCAGCTCTAGGCGCACAGGCTTCAGTAGTGTGGCTTCAGTAGTTGTGGCTTGCGGGCTTAGTTGCTCTGTGGCATGTGGGATCTTCCCGGACCAGGGCTTGAACCCATGTCCCCTGCATTGGCAGGCAGATTCTTAACCACTACGCCACCAGGGAAGCCCTAAAACAGATTTCTGTTGGGTGGGAACAGTCCTAGAGCCTCCCTGAACAAGAAAATTCATGAGTAGTTGTTCCAGGGTTAGCCTGCCAGCCACATTATTTTTCTTTGTTTAATCACAGGGCTCTGTGATTTGATCTCTATGAGCAGCCCGTGGTTAAGAGCATGGGCTCTGGAGCCAAAATGCATAGGTTCAAATCTCAGCTCCACCACTTCGCAGCTGTGTGACTTTGGGCACGTTACTTAATCTGTTTATGCTTCAATTTCCTTATTTGAGGGCTGTAGTGAAGATTAAATGAATCAATATAGTATATATAAAGCATTTAGCATAATGCCTGGCACAAAGTATCACTCAAGAAATCTTAGTGATTATTCCCACATTCCCACCAGGTCCCTGTCTCAAACAGAGACCTGGCAATCCAGAAGCCATTGCCCTTGGGCAAGCAGCTGGGTCTCTAGTTGCCAAGATAAACTGCTGCTGATCAGAGACGCTCTCTCTGGCTTCAAATTTAAGGAGGGCTTCTGTGGTATATCTACGTGTGGGCCATAAAAAGAACAGATGTACTCAACACTAAGTACCTCTTTAAATGCATGGTGTCTGATCTGTCACCTCTGGAGACCTGGAAAAACTAGTTCTCTGTTCCTAGGCTTGTGGAACCAAGTTTGATTTGTGTGGATAGCTACCTAGTCTAGATACTTTGAACATTTGATCAATATTTTCAAAATATAGTTAAACTTTCTATAGGTTAGAAAATTTAACCTTTTCTAGAGGTTAATGATTTGCTTCTTCAGTTGGCTTTACCTGGTGAGTTTGTGAAAATATGAGCTTATTCTCTGAATTTAGGGCATTTGTTTAAATTCATACATTTCTGGCTCAGTCTAAAATTAAATTATGAGATCAGAAATAATTTCAAAGGGCTGTCATGAAGATACAGTAATCCCTGAAACAGACCTTTTCACAAGATTACTTTGAAGAACTGAAATGTTTAAGAGGTAGAAAACAGGATTTCTGTTCATTTTTTTGTTTATTTTTAAGCCAGAATTTCAAGTGTTACTTATTAAATGAAAATAGATACACCCCATAAAATGTCCCTTTTTATCAGCTAAGCCTATTATGTAAAAGGCCCTATATTCAAAATTCTCACTGATCTTCCAATAGAAAAGTATGTAAATATTGGACAACTTATACAAGAAAAAATATTAACAACTATTAAAGATGTGACAAATGTTTGCTGTCACTAGTAGTCGAAGAAATATAAATTGAAACAAGATGTCATTTTTCAACTATCCAGTTGGAAGAGACCTTTGCTAAACTGCCATATCAAATGCCATGTCAAAGGTGATGGGCAACAGCCTTACCAGCTGGCAAGGATGCATGACCTTCTCCTGGCAACATCCACACTCTGATCCAACAATTTCACCCCGAAATGTATGCAGAAGGGCACACAAGGATATTCATTAGACACCACTTATAATAGGGAAAATAGGAACATCTTAAAGATCTATCAACAGGGGTTGGTTCAATTACTATGGAACATAAGTAGCCACTAAAGAGAAGTGACCATTTCAGTGACATGGAAAAATGTTTATATTAAAGCAAATTACAGAATAATATACTGTAGTTTTGTTTTTGTAAAAATATTATATATACAAAAACACATATAATTGAATAAAAAGAGTAAAAGGAAACATAAAAATATATTAAACTGAGAAATACATATAAATATATACCTAAAAGATGGATAACGCAAGGAAAAAAAAAAAAAAAAAAAGATGGAAAATAAGTACAACAAAGTATAAAACAATGGTTATTTCTAGGTGGTGGGATTTGGAATTTTATTTTTGTTTTTCTTCTAGGATGAATATATGTTATTTTTTTTTTGTAATAAGGGGGGGAAAACAACAATAAAAACTATGACAATTAAAAGAAAATCACTGGGACTTCCCTGGTGGTCCAGTGGTTAAGAATCCGCCTTCCAATGCAGGGCATGTGGGTTCGATCCCTGGTTGGGGAACTAAGATCCTACATGCCATGGGGCAACTGAGCCCATGTGCCACAACTACTTAGCCCACGTGCTCTGGAGCCCGTGCCCCACAACTAGAGGAGAGCCCGTGCACCACAACTACTGAGCCCGCACACTCTGCAGCCTGCGTGCCACAGCTAGAGAGAAGCCACACACCACAATGAAAGATTCCATGTGCCACAACTAAGACCCGATGCAGCCAAAATTTTTTTAAAATAAAATTTTAAAAAATTAAAGAAAAAGAGTTGGACCTTTAAAAAAAAAAAAAGAAAAAGAAAATCACTGTTCTGGATGAAGCCTTGAGAGAGTCAGGAGCAAACTGAGGGGGGAGGTGGGAGGACCCCAGGAACACGGCTGGGCCTGGGAACCAGGAGCCCTAGGCTTTGGTCTCACTTCGACTACACCACTTAGCAGCCAAATCCTTTCCCTCTACGGACCTCAATCTGTAAGATGCGGTGGCAGGGAGGCTGGGCCACAACATCAGTATGCAAACACAGGACTGTCTGCATCAGGTTCACCTACAGTTCTTGTCTGTTAGGTAGACAGAGAGATAAATTGCTGGGGCCCCAATCCAGATCTCTTGAATCAGCCCCCAGGGGTAAGACCTGGGGATCTGTATCTTTAACAAGCATTCTGGGCAAGACTGCCTCCTAGCCAGGTTTAGGAACCACTGGACTAGATAACCCAAGATGTACTCCTTGTTCTCAAGCCCTCCTACTATATACACCTCCCCTGGCCCACTCTCAAAGCCTTGTTCCTCCTCACCTAGCACGTCCTGGGGACTTTGGGGGAACTGCTTGCTGAGCACGGTCTCCAGAGCATAGCTCAGGTCCATGCTGTGCCTGGTTATCTCGGCCGGTGTGGCACCTGCCGGGAACATCTGTGTGGGCAGCTCGGAGAAGCGGATCTCTGTGCCGGCTCTGGGCTTCATCTCGGGCAGCCGGGCCAGGCCTTCCTGGTAGCTTTTGCACTCAGTGCCGCAGCGGGGTAGATTCTGCTCCACCCGGTCCTTGGTGTACTTCATGGAGAGCACAGGCAGCACCTCTGAGAAGGCACAGATCTGCCGACTCTCGGGCTGGAGCTTCTCCACTGTGGCCTCGCTGATGAAGTTGGTTAGTGAGATCCACTTCTTGAGTGTGGCATATGGGTAAGGTCCCAGGAACTGGTCCAGCTCCTGGAGGTTGGCCCTCATGGCCTCCACCACAGCCTCTGGGGCTGGGGACAGGTCTACCTCTTCCTGGACTGCATCCCAGCGCAGGACCTTCAGCCCCCGCTGCTGTAGGCTAAGGAAGAAGCCCATACGGGGGCCCACCTCCCTGGGATTGGCCTTGTCCACAGAGCTGTAGTGGAGGAAGTGGATGCCTGGAGGGATCATCTTCACACCCCGGAACTTGGGCCCCACCTCCCAGGAGTTGTAGTCAATGCCAAACTCTGTCCCCTTGGGCATATTCAGGATGACCACAGTGGCCCCTTCAAAGAAGAGGTGCTTGGCAAGCTCAGGATCCATCTGCATGGCAGCCATGGGACCAGTGGTGAGTGACCAAAAAGAAAACTTTTCTAGTTTTCCAGAACAGCTGAAAAAGAAATATATCAGAGTTAATCAGAACCTGGGGAAGGATGCTTCATTTGCTGAGCATGCTCTATGTGCTAGATATTGAACTAGACCCCTGACATAATTATCTCCCTTAATTTTCACCACAACCCCGCATTGTTTTACAGATGAAGAAAATAAGACTCAAAGAGAAGAGGGGTTTTGTGTTTTGGTTTAATGAGCAAGAACACTCACTTCACAGCTGGAAAGACATCAGTTAAAGAAAAGTGATATGTTCAAGGTCACAGAGGACCCAGTTAGAACCTGGGTACCCTGCCCTCCAGGCCAGTGTCCTTTCCACTGTTCACTCAGGATTTAAAAAAAAAAAAAGGTTCTGAAGAACGTTGGGGCAGGAAAGGAATAAAGATGCAGACATAGAGAATGGACTTGAGGACACAGGGAGGGGGAAGGGTAAGCTGGGACGAAGTGAGAGAGTGGCATGGACATATATACACTACCAAATGTAAAACAGATAGCTAGTGGGAAGCATCCACATAGCACAGGGAGATCAGCTCGGTGCTTTGTGACCACCTAGAGGGGTGGGATAGGGAGGGTGGGAGGGAGATGCAAGAGGGAGGAGATATGGGGATATATATATATATATGTATAGCTGATTCACTTTGTTATAAAGCAGAAACTAACACACCATTGTAAGGAAATGATACTCCAATAAAGACGTTAAAAAAAAAAAAGATTACGACTCACTGAGGGCGCAGATGACAGTTAGCATTTTTTAGCAATAAAGTGCTTCACTAAGGTATTTTCTTTTAAGACATAATGCTACTGCACACTTAATAGACTATGTACAGAGTAAACATGACTTTTATATGCACTGGGAAACCAAAAAATTCATGTGACTCACTTTTGGTGATATTCACTTTATTGTGGTAGCCCAGCACCGAACCCACAATATCTCCAAGGTATGCCTGTACTACAGACATCATTGTCAGAGCCAGTGTTTTCCCTCGAGAGTTAAAGATGGACACTAGTATTTCGAATACTGGCAAGAAATGAAGCTGGAGAGCCTATTTAGTGGCCTATTGTGACTAAAAGTATTAAAAAAAAAATAGGTTACATGACTATATGCCTAAATGCTATGCAATCAGTAATAAGAATTCTTATTTTGTACATAATTCACTTTATAACATACTATTAAATTCAGATTATCCTTTCATTGGTTTTAAACAAATTATGATGACTCAATTTGCTTCAAATAAAAGAAAAAACTGTATCTATTTTTATAAAACAAATAATTTTTATTCAAGCTAATCCATGGGATTTGTAAAAATCAGTGGCATCTATTCAAAGGGGCCTCTAATGGCAGAGGGCATTATGTCGCTGATTTTACACAAGCTAATGTGGCTGTCTTTAAGTGCTCACACACAAACACCAGTCCCTCTCCATGTGTAGCAGCCATTTAAACTCCCAAGTAAGAAAGCCAGTTCCACTTACTTGATGACCTGCGGGGAGAGCAGGTGGCTGGCTAAGGAAGGCTTTTATGGGCTGATTCATTCACTCACAAACACCCGGAGCGAGTGCCTGTGTGTAGGGTGACAGGATCTCACTGCCAAGATGGCATCAGTGTAACTTGCCATCAAAAAAGAGAAAAGTTTTGAAATACCCTTTCTGCATTCTGCCCATTGAAATCTGTGTCATCCTTCAAGCTCATGATCAAATGCCCCCCTTCACAAAAACGCCATTCCTGACCCTCTGTCTCCTCAAATCTCAACCCCAGCCTGAATGAACCAACCAACCCCTCTCTGGTGCTCCTAATGCCCTTTGACCAGACTTCACTGTTTACATCTGTCATAGCAGGGTCATCTGTTCACACTGCCACAGGAATTATGCACTAAAAACACCCAATAACACAAAGTGAGATCAGTGCTAGGCCTCAAGTAGGTGTTGAATATAACCAGACGAACAAAAAATAGGCTTCTGGTAAAAGCCCATGGCTCAGTGGGGAAGTCAGGCAGACAATATATACATTTCAGCAAGCACAGCCTATGCAATATAATAGTGACAAGTACAAATAAGGCTAATAGTATGGAAAGGAGGGAGATATCAGGTTTGGCACCACAGAGAGGGATACCTAGAGGGCATCCTGTAGGATGAACAAGTACATAGCAGGCGGAGGGAAAATCAGGTTCAGTTAAGAAGACATGAAACATGGGTATGAAGTTTCAGTCGTGCCAGATGAAAAAGTTCTAGAGATCCTCTCTGCTTATAGTTAACAGTACTGTACTGTACACTTAAAAAATTAAGAGGGTAAATCTCATGTTACGTATTTTTTACAATTAAAAAAAAAAAGAGGAAGGCATGGAACAGCATGGCATGCCTGGCAACTTGCAAGGAGACCACTGCTGCTGGAGTTGACGGTGGAAAATAGGGAAAGGAAGGAAAAGCTGGAGAACAGATTAGGAGCCCGATCAGAATGGGTATTATGACCTAGGTTTGGGCTTTTAACTTTTTAGGCAACGAGGACCACAGAGAAATAGAATCAGAGGTGCATTTTGGTGGCAGTGTAGGAGACAGATGGACTGATGGGGGTAAACATGGAAGTTGATAAACTCTGATGCAGTCTAGATGAGACCAAAAGGCCCAGGTTAGGAAAATGGTACTGCCTTCTAAAACACTTAGGGCTACCTGAGTTATCTGGTTAATTCATTTGTTTACTTTCCCACCAAAATCTAAACTCCAAGTCAGGGACTCTGTCTGTCTTGCCCAGAGCTACATTTCCCATCCTAGAACAGGGCCTTGTATACAACAGGTGCTCAGCAAACGCCTGCTAAATCAATGAAGAGATGCTTCTGCACAAGTCCTTCAACTTTCAGAGTTTTATGTCAGCTGCCTGATCACATGGACTCTTCCAACAGTATGCTGTTTTTAAAAAAGTGCTCTGTACCTCTAAGAAACAGGCTAACTCATATACATATTCCTCAACACTCTGAGAAGAACTTTGTATATAAAGAAAGGATGCTTAAAAAACAGGTGTTGAGGGGGCTTCCCTGGTGGCGCAGTGGTTGAGAATCTGCCTGCTAATGCAGGGGACATGGGTCCGAGCCCTGGTCTGGGAGGATCCCACATGCCGCGGAGCAACTAAGCCCGTGAGCCACAAGTACTAAGCCTGCACATCTGGAGCCTGTGCTCCCCAACAAGAGAGGCCACGATAGTGAGAGGCCCGCACACCACGATGAAGAGTAGCCCGCACTTGCCACAACTAGAGAAAGCCCTCGCACAGAAACCAAGACCCAACACAGCAAAAATAAATAAATAAATTTTAAAAAAACAAAAAAAGAATAAGGTCTTTGAATGCAAAGAATGTGCTTTAAAAAAACAAAACCAAAAAACAGGTATTGATATATATTTTTTAAGGCACATGTCCTGGATTTTTCCAAATAATGACATCAAATTTTCTTGGTGAAAAGTCCAAAGACAAAATTCTTCTAATCATCAGTTTTGCACACCCTACCTGGACATCGAGCAATCCAGCTGGGCCCTTTCTGCTTTGTAAATCATTGCTGGCAACAAAGCCTCAGCAATGAGAGCTCAGCTGCTGGTCATGCTGACAATGGTTGGACAGCCAAAGACACACTGTGGCCCTCCTATGTTTACACGACAGCACTAGGGCATATCACAAGGGCAGCACATATTCCCACTGCCAGAGGCCCGTTAGCAGGCTGCTGCCTCCTACTGCTCTGCAACCCATGACCCAGTAACTGGGGCGATGTCCCCTGCAGAGGAAGGCTAAAGGGATTTAATTTCTCTGTGATATCAAGGACCAATAAAAGGGCAGTTTTATAACTCTCATCAAGTGGAATACACCAGGCTCAAACCACCAGCCTGACTGACTCATCCCCATGGTCCACACAAGTCCTTCAACTTCAGAGGTTTATGTCAGCTGCCTGATCACAGGGACTCCTCCAACAGTATGCTGGTTTTAGAAAAGTATTCTGTACCTCTGAGAAACAGGCCCCTGATAGTATGTCCACTAATGCCAATCAAGACTCTTTTCGGTGGGGGGGGATCTACACTGTATTCGGTATGTAGGGGCATAAGCATAGGCCTTAAACCAAGACTCAGGCCTGGGTACAAATCCTGACTCTGCCACCTACCAGCTGTGTGACCTTATATTAATGATTTAATCTTTTTGAGTCTCAGTGTTCTCATTTGTAAAATGGGAATAATCCTCCCTGTCTTACGTGCTCCAGAGCGATTAAATGAGGGAACCCATACAAAGAGATAAGCATGGTGCCTATTAAATGCCAACAGGCATTTAATGACTGTTCATTCCTTCCCTTACCATGGGTGGGAGTGGGAGGTTAGTGAACAGCCACCTTTTAAGGAGCAGGCCTGTGGGGGTCTCACACACAGTGAGAAAAAAGTCATGAAACAGAAAGTATGGAAACTGACAGCCTGCAGCTTCTGCCTCTTCTATACTTGAGAAAGTTACACAATGTGAGTGACAGAGGCTGTCCCAAGAACATAAAGGAAGCTAATCTGTTTGCAAAGGGAGGAAATAGCACAGGATGAAGATTGTAAATTGTTTGAAGCTTCTTCCCTAATTATCACTCATAATGAAAATTTAATTGCTGAGTTAAAAGCAAATTTCACTTTTTCTGTCAGAGAATCTCTGAAGAAACTGGCACATTTTGTTTGAACAGGAAATCAAAGTTACTTTAATGCCTAAATGAGATCTAAGGAGCTGCAGATGTTTCCCTGGGAATAACTAGCTTCAAAACTCCATCCTACTGGTTTGCAGCAACTTACAGCTACAGGGAGGCAGAAATAAAAACTGTTTTGAGCCGAGTTGCTCAAGGGGTGAGGCTGACTCAAATTCCAAGTACCCCAGTGCTAGGCACCTTGGGGGGCGAGGCAGGGAGAAGGTGGTACACAGAGAGGGTCTCTGGAATTAAGGAGCTTATAATCAAGTAGGAGAGAGAGAACCAGGGAACAGCCTACTATTAGGAAACTGAAATGAAGACAATTTGGCTCAGGAAAGAACAGCAAAAAACAAAAAGGTAAGCCTCCAAGCGTACTTTCACACACCCTGGCCTTAATTATGACCCACTTGGGTGTCAGCCAAAAGCCTGCTCACCTGTAAGGTGCTGGTGAGGAAGTTGTCCTGGGAGACAATGTCCACAAAGAAGTCGGCAGGGATCTCACCAAGCTGGTGGTACAGGATGGAGATGAGGTTGACGTAAAGGGTGTGGTGCTTCACCATGGCCTCTTCTGACCGGCACAGAAGGTTCAGGAGCTGCTTCCAGTGCTCGAATGCCTCGTACACGTTCCCCAGCAGGAAGCATACAAAGGCAAACTGGAGCTCACCTGAAAGGTGCAGAGAGGAGAAATGATCCTGAGGGACAGGAGTACTGGCTGACACTACTAAGCCGTCAGTTCCACTGGGCCTCAGCAATAAGTGGCTTTCTATCCTTGCCACTCTTCCAGAGCTCGGCACAGGGTTTTGCACCTAGCAGCTGCTCAATAAAAGTTTGCTGAACTGCTATAAACTCAAGCCGTGAGAAACCAAACTGGTTTTGGATTTCTGTGATATCCGACTGCAAGAGAAGAGGCACACATAGTATTTGCCTAGCATTTAACAAGTTTACAAAATGTGTCCATGGATATTATGCCAAGTGGATCCCCAAACTGGCTGCCCATCTGAAATACTAAGAGAACTTGTTAAAAATAAAGCTGCCCAAGCCTCACCACCAGAGATCCTGGTTGAGGACAGATGATGGGGCCTCAGTATTTGTAGCTCTAACAAGCTTCCCGGGTGATTCTGATGCACACGGTCTGCTTCAGGGTCAGGGAAATGCTGCATTACACCACATAATCCTCAGCCCAACTCGGCAAGGTGATCAGGGAAGGTGGTATTTGCCTCATTTCATAGATGAGGTCAAGAAAATTGCCCAAGGTCACACATCTAATGCTTAGCAACTGAACAATGGAAAGATAAAACAGGTTTCTTTTTTAAATTTATTTATTTTATTCATTTATTTTGGGCTGCGTTGGGTCTTCGTTGCTGTGCGTGGGCTTTTCTCTAGTTGCGGTGTGTGGGCTTCTCATTGTGGTGGCTTCTCCTGTTGCAGAGCACCAGCTCTAGGCGCACAGGCTTCAGTAGTGTGGCTTCAGTAGTTGTGGCTTGCGGGCTTAGTTGCTCTGTGGCATGTGGGATCTTCCCGGACCAGGGCTTGAACCCATGTCCCCTGCATTGGCAGGCAGATTCTTAACCACTACGCCACCAGGGAAGCCCTAAAACAGATTTCTGTTGGGTGGGAACAGTCCTAGAGCCTCCCTGAACAAGAAAATTCATGAGTAGTTGTTCCAGGGTTAGCCTGCCAGCCACATTATTTTTCTTTGTTTAATCACAGGGCTCTGTGATTTGATCTCTATGAGCAGCCCGTGGTTAAGAGCATGGGCTCTGGAGCCAAAATGCATAGGTTCAAATCTCAGCTCCACCACTTCGCAGCTGTGTGACTTTGGGCACGTTACTTAATCTGTTTATGCTTCAATTTCCTTATTTGAGGGCTGTAGTGAAGATTAAATGAATCAATATAGTATATATAAAGCATTTAGCATAATGCCTGGCACAAAGTATCACTCAAGAAATCTTAGTGATTATTCCCACATTCCCACCAGGTCCCTGTCTCAAACAGAGACCTGGCAATCCAGAAGCCATTGCCCTTGGGCAAGCAGCTGGGTCTCTAGTTGCCAAGATAAACTGCTGCTGATCAGAGACGCTCTCTCTGGCTTCAAATTTAAGGAGGGCTTCTGTGGTATATCTACGTGTGGGCCATAAAAAGAACAGATGTACTCAACACTAAGTACCTCTTTAAATGCATGGTGTCTGATCTGTCACCTCTGGAGACCTGGAAAAACTAGTTCTCTGTTCCTAGGCTTGTGGAACCAAGTTTGATTTGTGTGGATAGCTACCTAGTCTAGATACTTTGAACATTTGATCAATATTTTCAAAATATAGTTAAACTTTCTATAGGTTAGAAAATTTAACCTTTTCTAGAGGTTAATGATTTGCTTCTTCAGTTGGCTTTACCTGGTGAGTTTGTGAAAATATGAGCTTATTCTCTGAATTTAGGGCATTTGTTTAAATTCATACATTTCTGGCTCAGTCTAAAATTAAATTATGAGATCAGAAATAATTTCAAAGGGCTGTCATGAAGATACAGTAATCCCTGAAACAGACCTTTTCACAAGATTACTTTGAAGAACTGAAATGTTTAAGAGGTAGAAAACAGGATTTCTGTTCATTTTTTTGTTTATTTTTAAGCCAGAATTTCAAGTGTTACTTATTAAATGAAAATAGATACACCCCATAAAATGTCCCTTTTTATCAGCTAAGCCTATTATGTAAAAGGCCCTATATTCAAAATTCTCACTGATCTTCCAATAGAAAAGTATGTAAATATTGGACAACTTATACAAGAAAAAATATTAACAACTATTAAAGATGTGACAAATGTTTGCTGTCACTAGTAGTCGAAGAAATATAAATTGAAACAAGATGTCATTTTTCAACTATCCAGTTGGAAGAGACCTTTGCTAAACTGCCATATCAAATGCCATGTCAAAGGTGATGGGCAACAGCCTTACCAGCTGGCAAGGATGCATGACCTTCTCCTGGCAACATCCACACTCTGATCCAACAATTTCACCCCGAAATGTATGCAGAAGGGCACACAAGGATATTCATTAGACACCACTTATAATAGGGAAAATAGGAACATCTTAAAGATCTATCAACAGGGGTTGGTTCAATTACTATGGAACATAAGTAGCCACTAAAGAGAAGTGACCATTTCAGTGACATGGAAAAATGTTTATATTAAAGCAAATTACAGAATAATATACTGTAGTTTTGTTTTTGTAAAAATATTATATATACAAAAACACATATAATTGAATAAAAAGAGTAAAAGGAAACATAAAAATATATTAAACTGAGAAATACATATAAATATATACCTAAAAGATGGATAACGCAAGGAAAAAAAAAAAAAAAAAAAGATGGAAAATAAGTACAACAAAGTATAAAACAATGGTTATTTCTAGGTGGTGGGATTTGGAATTTTATTTTTGTTTTTCTTCTAGGATGAATATATGTTATTTTTTTTTTGTAATAAGGGGGGGAAAACAACAATAAAAACTATGACAATTAAAAGAAAATCACTGGGACTTCCCTGGTGGTCCAGTGGTTAAGAATCCGCCTTCCAATGCAGGGCATGTGGGTTCGATCCCTGGTTGGGGAACTAAGATCCTACATGCCATGGGGCAACTGAGCCCATGTGCCACAACTACTTAGCCCACGTGCTCTGGAGCCCGTGCCCCACAACTAGAGGAGAGCCCGTGCACCACAACTACTGAGCCCGCACACTCTGCAGCCTGCGTGCCACAGCTAGAGAGAAGCCACACACCACAATGAAAGATTCCATGTGCCACAACTAAGACCCGATGCAGCCAAAATTTTTTTAAAATAAAATTTTAAAAAATTAAAGAAAAAGAGTTGGACCTTTAAAAAAAAAAAAAGAAAAAGAAAATCACTGTTCTGGATGAAGCCTTGAGAGAGTCAGGAGCAAACTGAGGGGGGAGGTGGGAGGACCCCAGGAACACGGCTGGGCCTGGGAACCAGGAGCCCTAGGCTTTGGTCTCACTTCGACTACACCACTTAGCAGCCAAATCCTTTCCCTCTACGGACCTCAATCTGTAAGATGCGGTGGCAGGGAGGCTGGGCCACAACATCAGTATGCAAACACAGGACTGTCTGCATCAGGTTCACCTACAGTTCTTGTCTGTTAGGTAGACAGAGAGATAAATTGCTGGGGCCCCAATCCAGATCTCTTGAATCAGCCCCCAGGGGTAAGACCTGGGGATCTGTATCTTTAACAAGCATTCTGGGCAAGACTGCCTCCTAGCCAGGTTTAGGAACCACTGGACTAGATAACCCAAGATGTACTCCTTGTTCTCAAGCCCTCCTACTATATACACCTCCCCTGGCCCACTCTCAAAGCCTTGTTCCTCCTCACCTAGCACGTCCTGGGGACTTTGGGGGAACTGCTTGCTGAGCACGGTCTCCAGAGCATAGCTCAGGTCCATGCTGTGCCTGGTTATCTCGGCCGGTGTGGCACCTGCCGGGAACATCTGTGTGGGCAGCTCGGAGAAGCGGATCTCTGTGCCGGCTCTGGGCTTCATCTCGGGCAGCCGGGCCAGGCCTTCCTGGTAGCTTTTGCACTCAGTGCCGCAGCGGGGTAGATTCTGCTCCACCCGGTCCTTGGTGTACTTCATGGAGAGCACAGGCAGCACCTCTGAGAAGGCACAGATCTGCCGACTCTCGGGCTGGAGCTTCTCCACTGTGGCCTCGCTGATGAAGTTGGTTAGTGAGATCCACTTCTTGAGTGTGGCATATGGGTAAGGTCCCAGGAACTGGTCCAGCTCCTGGAGGTTGGCCCTCATGGCCTCCACCACAGCCTCTGGGGCTGGGGACAGGTCTACCTCTTCCTGGACTGCATCCCAGCGCAGGACCTTCAGCCCCCGCTGCTGTAGGCTAAGGAAGAAGCCCATACGGGGGCCCACCTCCCTGGGATTGGCCTTGTCCACAGAGCTGTAGTGGAGGAAGTGGATGCCTGGAGGGATCATCTTCACACCCCGGAACTTGGGCCCCACCTCCCAGGAGTTGTAGTCAATGCCAAACTCTGTCCCCTTGGGCATATTCAGGATGACCACAGTGGCCCCTTCAAAGAAGAGGTGCTTGGCAAGCTCAGGATCCATCTGCATGGCAGCCATGGGACCAGTGGTGAGTGACCAAAAAGAAAACTTTTCTAGTTTTCCAGAACAGCTGAAAAAGAAATATATCAGAGTTAATCAGAACCTGGGGAAGGATGCTTCATTTGCTGAGCATGCTCTATGTGCTAGATATTGAACTAGACCCCTGACATAATTATCTCCCTTAATTTTCACCACAACCCCGCATTGTTTTACAGATGAAGAAAATAAGACTCAAAGAGAAGAGGGGTTTTGTGTTTTGGTTTAATGAGCAAGAACACTCACTTCACAGCTGGAAAGACATCAGTTAAAGAAAAGTGATATGTTCAAGGTCACAGAGGACCCAGTTAGAACCTGGGTACCCTGCCCTCCAGGCCAGTGTCCTTTCCACTGTTCACTCAGGATTTACTCTCAGATCTCCTTCTCACAACAGAGGATGAAGGCAGAGAAAGCTTGGCTGGTCCATTCTCACTATAACTCTGCCTAAACTGTCTTAAACTCTAACTCTGTCTAAAACCTATTGCTGGAGAGTCCCCAGAAGAGTTGAGAAGCACCCACTCAGTTTCCTATAAGCCTCAGGGAAGGCCCAGAAATGGACCAAAGGTGGAAAGTGGGTGCTCAGTATCTAAAATTCACAAAAGGTTTGGGCAGTGAAGAGCTTTTCAACCACAACCACACCCTTCCTTTTCTCTTACTTATAAAAAACCTGAAGTCCAGGGAGTGAAACGACTTCCCAAAGGGTTCACAGTCAGTAGCAGCTCTGGACTGCTCACCCAGAAGGGATCCAGGAGGCACAGCTGGCCTTGGATCCGAAGAGAAAGACCATTGAACATTTATTTTGTCTACCTCTGAACTACCCATGAGGACACACTGATAAAACTTCTGTAAGCAGACACACACTGCCTCTGTATTTATAAGTATGGTTCCAACATGAACTAATTTAAACAGGACAATTATCTGACCCCCTAGTCCCAAGACACCTACCTATTCAATCCAACAAATCACCCTGGAATGCCTGCACTGTGCCAGGATCTTTGCCAGGCACTAACAGAAACATTCGCAGAGTAAGACAGTTACTGCCCTCTAGGCACTTCCAATCTAGCCAGACATACAAACAAGGCCCCAAAACTTCACAAACAGAAGGACCAGCTGCCTGTTTAATCCTTTTTACTCATTTTATTTAAACAAACAAAACAAAATAAAACCATGAGGAAAGGAAGAGCAACCCTTTTCCAAAAATGTTAAGGACATATTTTATTGTCTTAACCCAATACCCACCACAAATGACTCTCACTCTAAATCAGCATTATTGTTCCAAACTGCAAGTCACAACCTATTAATGGGTCAAGAGATCGTTTTAGGGAATCTCAACCAGCATTAATTTTTTAAAATAAAAGGACAGAATTTTTAAAAATCAGAGTACATCATAAATATTAAAGCTAAGTACTGTTTTCTGAAGCTTTGTGTGTTTGAATGGACTCTTGGTCACAACATAAAATGTATTTGTTACTGTAGGTCACAATCAAAAAAGTCTGAAAGCCACTGCCCTGAATAATTTATATCATTTTCCTATTCCTAATCTTGAATTCAGAAGGTACTTAATAAATATTTGCTAGATGAACAGCTATCACATTTAGAATAACTGCTCATCAATTAGCCATCTTCCCTGGTGGCATCTGTATGCCCCTCCTTGATAATGCCATTCCTTTCCTTCTATTTCCCCCAGACTGTAATTCTCCTCACTATATCTTCAGCAGCTGGCACACAGCCTGGCACAAAGAAGATGCCTTGGGAGGCAGAAAGTCACATCCACCCACTTCTCTCTACCACCTCCTTAATCTAAGCTACCATATCCCTCACCCAGAGAGTGATCGCCCCTTCAATCCCTTCTCCATCCAATAGCTGGAGTGACCTTCTCAAAGCACTAATCTAAGCATGTCACCACCCATACTTAATATCCTCTGAGAGGCTTCTCATGTGGCTCTTGGCAAACTAAATTCCTACCATGACCTACAAGGAAGGCCTGCGTGGTCTGGTCCCTGGCAACTCCTTCAGCTTGTGTCATACCATGCTTTCCCCCACACGCTCTCTGTTGCAGCCAAACTGACCTCTTTCAGACCTTCAAACAGGAGGCTTCCCTGATAGAAAACTCTTCCCTCCCCTCTTTCTCAAATCATTTTTCTGATCTCTGCTCAATATTCATCTCCTCAGTAAAGCTTCTTTGACCGGGTCTAAGTCAGATCTCCTGTAATTCGCTCTCACGGCGCCTTGTATCTTTCCATGTCACTTATCACAGCTGCAATTTTGCAAATGTTAAGAGGGCTGTCATCTCCAGGAGACGTGGGTCTTTTGTATCTCTAGCTCATATTAGACACTTGGTAAACATTTGTTTAATAAAAGCATGGTACCCATTTTGTAGATAAGAAACAAAGCCTCGGTTCGGAGAAAAGACCCTAGCCGAAGTTACAGAGAGTAGCTCAGAACCACGTCAGGCGGAGCCACGGCCTCCGGCCCGCAAGTTCTAAAGTTACGGAAGAAAGCAAGTTACCGCGGGTGCCCCAGGAAGTCCTGGCGACGGTGTATCTGGTGACGGTTTCTCAGGGAGCAAGGCCTGTAGAGACAGGAGGGTCCCACCACCGGCCCACAGACGGGGATGTCCCAGTCCCCGCTAGGTGCCCTAGTGCAGGGCCCTCCGCGATCCCGAGCTGGGAAGAGGGGTGGCCGGACCACACAGACAAAGAAAGCAGAGGAGTTAAAAGAGGACAGGAGGCCGCGCTCACCGACTTGGGTCTTGCCTCAGGCTCAGGCACCGCGGAAGCGCACCGGAAGTTCTCCTTCTCTGGCGCCGGACTGGAGCAATGGGAAAAGGGGCCGGGCGGATCTCTCGGTCGCGGGAGGAACGGTCCGCCTCTGCAGGTTCCGCCCCATCAAATATTGCCTTTTGCTACTTCTAGTTACTGGTTTTAGCTTCTGAACAGTGGATAATAACTTTCATCAAACGATGCATTTTATATCCCGCTCCAGAAACACATCCACCAGCCATGGTTTTTCGGTCTCAATCAGTCATGGTTTCTGAGGCTGGGGTCAAGTTCATGGCTGCCCAGTAGCCACAGACAGAGGCTCAGTCGTGGTCCGGGTCAGTCGATCTCTATCCGAGTGACAGTGTCACAGCTGGCCCGTTATCACCTGGTCCCAGCTTCCAACCATACTCAGCTGTAGAGGAGAGCTTCAGAAACCCAGCCCAGAGAGAACCAGTCTCACAGCAGTAGTCACCACATCGGTCCCTCTAGCTATAACCACCCAGTGTCCTCTGACAGTGCAGGCCTACTACGATATCTCAGTCAGGCTGTAAACGCACCTTGAGGGAGGAAACCTGCCTGTCTTGTTCTCCACTGTTTTCCTGGAACCTAGCACAAAGCCAGGCACAAAGGCCCAGCTCAATACATATATTCTGCATTTAATTAATGACAGTAATTCTTTATTAATTAATGGCTTCTATTTTGGAGCCTAGCCCTGTACTGGGTGGTTGTATCAGTCAGGGTTCAACCAAAGAGGCAGAGCCAACAGGAGGTGTATAAGAGCTTTATTACAAGGAATTGGCTTACATGATTGTGAGGGCTGCCTAGGTAAGTGCAAAATCCATAGGGCAGGCCGCTTGCTGTATGATTTCTAATCCTTGCACTAACCCTACTAAGCAGACTTAGCATTCCAATGTGCAGAAGAGAAAACTGAGGCTCAAAGAGGTTACACAGCCAGAGTGGCCGGGCTAGGAGGCAAACCAAGGTCTGAGTGGTGACTGGCTCTTCTTGTCCCTATGCTGCTGTTCTTCAGCCTGCCTGTCACACTTCCTCAGTGACAGCTGGACATGCCAATCTGTCTCAGTCAAAATTCATCTCTTAGTGGGTTACAGACTAGACCGGGCCCTGCAGTCATGGTTGATCACCATGAGCTGCTGCTGGATTAGCCAGAGATGGCCTCCATCAGTCACAGTCATGCATGTCAATCTGTCTGTCATGTCAGTTCCATTTCCTGCATGAAGAAGGTCAGCTCCCTCCCCATTTCCAGCCTTAGGTGCTGAGCTCCTTGGTCTGTTTTCAGAGCTCCCTGTGCTAGCAGGACTCACCATCTTCTGAGACTTCAGGGCACTGAACTATGGGCACAGGAGCCGTAGATGGTAGCTCAGGAATCCCAGCTGGTGGGTTGCATGTCCATCCAGATCAGGTTTCTCAACCTTGGTACTACTGAGATTCCGGGCTAGATAATTCTTTGTTGTAGGGCTGCTGTCCTGTGTGTTGTAGGATGTTTAGCAGCATCCCTGGCCTCTACCCACTGTATGCTACTAGCACCTCTCAGTTGTGACAACCAAAAATATCTCCAAATATTGCTAAATGTTCCTCGAGGGACGAAGTCACGCACATGCGCACACACAAACACACACACACAAGTTAAGTCACTGATCTAAATGAATCAGCCAGGTTATTCCTAAGCAGCTTGGAGGCTGCCTCTGTATTTATGGGAGACAGAGACACAGATCCAGCGTGGGTGGGAACCCAACGTTTGCAAACCTTGTCCTATTTCAGGACCCCAGGTGTGACAGATAACTAAAGGAAACCTACAGGGAAAATTCAGGGAAGGATTCACAAAACTCCTGGAAGCAATTGCCTCTGACAACGGACAGGAGTCTGGAGAGAGGAGAAGAATTGCTTCTCACTGCATAGCATTTTGTAGCATTTAATGAATTACCTTTAAAAAGAAAAGACAGTATTTAGTGTTTGAAGTTATAGGGAAATGCTCAGGATTTAAGTCTTTAAAAGTATTTAGAATGGGGGACTTCCCTGGCTGTCCAGTGGTTAGAACTCCGGGCTTCCTCCGCAGGGGGCCCAGGCTCGATCCCTGGCTGTGGAACTAAGATCCCGCATGCCTTGCGTCACAGCCACCCCACCAAAAAAAGTGTTTAGAACAGCATGTACAAGGTGACTTCAACTCTGATAAAATACATATACATGAGAAAAGACTGGAAGAAAATGGACCAGAGAGTTAGCAGTGGTTCTTGCTTGTGAGATTTGGGGTAGTAAAGAAAGGTGGTTTGGGGTGAGTTGTCTGGTAGAATGAAAGCAAAGTGCTGGTTCATGCACCGCAGGTAGCCCAAGGGACACATTTAGGTTTCACATGGATTATGCTTTTTAAATTTTAATATTCTTGCATTTACTTTTATGAAGACCTCCTTCCTTTGCCAAGTGACGCTAGTTTTTCATTTGTGGAAGTAATATAGTTTCCTTTTTAAAGAAATTTTTTTTTTTTTTTTTTTTTTAAAGGAGTCAATTGAAAGAAAAATGATGTCAACGTCGGGACGGGTAGCATGTGTGGGGATATGGCAACATTTGCTGTATACATGATCCACTCGGCTCCCATGAAGGAGGACGTGAGAAAAGACCCCAATGGCGGTGCTCTTCTTTCAAGTGCTCTGTGTCCTGGGTCCGCATGCCTACTATTCCTGCT